GTAGGAGGTGGAACAATGTTTTGTATAGTATGTTATGCCAATTGAGCTTGATGTCCCCTGCGACTATGGTCCCAAGCCCGCAGGATCAACTACTCGGTCGCTCTGGGTAGGTGGCTGTCACAAAATTATTAAGTGGGTTTTTAAAAAGTCCCCAAAGATATGGGGGGGTGTAGAGAAGGAAGAAAGAGATCCAAGGAAATTTTTCAGAGATGTTCAAATGAGAAAGAAGCCATTACAGAAAGTAGGGCTTCACAGGTGAAACCATGAGGGGCAAGTACTATGGCCTTGAGAAGATGGACAAAGTATAGATTTTGTTCTTACATCAACATTTTCTGTCACTGGCTTATGTATACATGAACCTAAGAAAATCCTCATAGTGCAAACCCAAGTGCTGAAGATTCACATGCTCCTCATATTAAAGGAAAGAATATTTGTAATTAGGCAAGGGTTCCTGGAAAATTAAATAAGTACTATTTTTAAGGGAGCAAAGTAATAGACATGGAATTTACATCATGAAGTTGCTTTATGTTACTTCTAGCATTATTTGCTTTTATTTTGCTTTGTATTTCCATCCCACCACCCATCTATTTGTTTGGCATATTGTAGTGGCTGGCATGTTGCTATAATGCTGGAAGCTATGCCCCTGGTATTTCAAATACATACAGGGTCACTCATGGTAGACAGGATTTGGCAGAGCTTCCAGACTAAGGCAGACTAGGAAGAAAGACCTGGTGCTCTGCTTCCAAAAATTAGCAAATAAAAACCTCACAGAAAACAACAGAACCCTGTATGACAGAGTGCTGGAAGATGAGCCCCTGAAGTTGGACAATACCAAAATATGACTGGGGAAGAGCTTTTCCCCAAAGTAGAATCAACCTTTATGATAAGCATGGAGTAAAGCTTATAGCACTTTTATTTGCTGATGTGGCACAACTCAAAATAAGAGTTAACAGCTGCAAACATCCATTAATAATAAGAATGAGGAATGTACAAATAGAAGTCATCAAAAATGAAATGGAATGCTTGAAGATCAATATTCCAGGCATTAGTGAGCAGAAATGGACTGGTATCTGCCATTTTGAATCCAACAACCATATTGTCTATACCACTCATCTGTCAGTTTGTCATACTGTGGTGGCTTGCACATTGCTTTGATGCTGGAAGATATGCCACCAGTATTGCAAATACCTGTAGGGTCACCCATGGTAGACAAATTTCAACACAGGTACTTGACTAAAAAAAACTAGGGAAAAATGTGGCCAGGTCTACTTATGAAAAAACTAGCCACTGAAAACCTTGAAAAGCAGGGAAAACATTGTCTGATATCATCCTGGAAGATGAGCCCCCCAAGTAAGAAGGCACTCAAAATACAACTAGGGAAGTGCTGCCTCCTCAAAGTAGAGTCAGCCTTAATGAACTGGATGGAGTAAAGCTTTTGGGACCTTCATTTGTTGATATGGTATGACTCAAAATGAGAAAAAACAGCTGCAAATATCCATTAATAATTGGAAGATGGAAGGGACAGAGCATGGATCAAGGAAAACTGAAAGTTGTAAACAATAAAATGGAATGCATAAATATTTATATCCTAGGCACTAGTGAGGAGCTCTGGTAGCATAGTGGCTAAGACACTTGACTGCTAACCAGAAGGCTGCAGGTTCAAACCCACCAGCCACTCCTCGGAAGGAAGATTGGGCAATCTACTTCCATAGTGATACTGCCTCGGAAACCCAAGATGGGGTCGCTATGAGTCAGGTCTGACTCGACGGCACATAACAACAACAACAACAACAACAGGCACTAGTGACCTGAAATGGACTGATGTGGACCATTCTGAATCAGACAATCATATGGTCTACTATGCTGGGAATGACATATTAAAGAGGAATGGCATCACATTTATCATCAAAAAGAACATTTCAAAGTCTATCCTGAAGTGCAGTGCCGTCAGTGATAGAATAATATCCATATGTCCACAAGAAAGACCAGTCAATATTACTATGATTCAAATTTATGCATCAACTACTTAAGCCAAAGATAAAGAAACTGAATATTTTTACCAACTTCTGAGGTCTGAAATTGACCAAACATACAGTAAAGATGTATTCATAATTACTGTTGATTGGAAAGGCAAAGTTGGAAACAAAGAAGAAGCACCAGTAGTTAGAAATATAGCCTTAGTGATAGAAATGACAATGGATATCACATGACAGAATTTTTCAAAACCAACCACTTATTCATTCCAAATATATTTTTTCAACAACACAAAAGGTGACTGACTATACATGTGGACCACATCACATAGAATACATAGGAAACAAATTGACTACATGTGTGGAAAGAGATGATGGAGAAGCACAATATAATCAGACAGAACAAGGCCAGACATTGACTGCAAAACACATCATCAATTACTCCTATGCAAGTTTAAGTTGAAGCTGAAGAAAACTAAAACAAGTCCATGATAGCCAAAATACAAACATGACTATGTTGTTGGTGCTAGGGGCCGTTGAGTCAGCTCTGACTCATAGTGACTATATGTACAACAGAACGAAACGCTATCTGGTACTGTGCCAGCCTCACAATCCTTGCTATGCTTGAGCCCATTGTTGCAGCCACTGTGTCAATCCATCTCGTTAAGGGCCTTCCCCTTTGTCATTCACCCTCCACTTTACCAAGCATGATATCCTTCTCCAGGGAATGGTTCCTTCTAACAACATGACCAAAGTAGGTGAGACAAAGTCTGGCCATTCTCGTTTCAAAGGAGCATTCCGGCTGCACTTCATCCAGGACAGATTCATTAGTTCTTTTAGCAGTCCATGGTACTTCCATTATTCTTCACCAACACAACTCAAAAGCATCAACTCTTCTTCAGTCTTCCTAGTTCTCTGTCCAGCTCTCACATGCACATGAAGCGAATGAAAATACCATGGCTTGGGTTAGGTGCACTCTTCAAGGAGACATCTTTGCTCGTCAGCACTTGAAAGAGGTCTTTTGCAGCAGATTTGCCCAGTGCAATATGTCGTCTGATGTCTTGACTGCTGCTTCCATTGGTGTTGATTGTGGAACCAAGTAATATGAAATCTTTAACAATTTCCATCTTGTCTCCATTTATTGTGATGCTACTTACTGGTCCAGTTGTAAGGATATTTGTTTTCTTTATGTTGAGATGTAATCCATACTGCAGAGTATAGTCTTTAATCTTCATCAGTAAGCATTTCAACTTATCCTCACTTTCGGCAGGCAAAGTTGTGTCATCTGCACGTTACAGGTTATTAATCAGTCTTCCTCCAATTTTGATGCCACGTTCTTCTTCATATAGTCCACCTTCTCAGATTATTTGTTCAGCATATAGATTGAATACATATGATGAAAGGATACAACCCTGACACACTCCCTTCCTGATTTTTAAACCATGCAGTATACCCTTGTTTCGTTCAAATGACAGCCTCCTGGTCTACGTACAGGTTCCTGATAAGCACAATCAACTGTTCTGGAATTCACATTCTTTTCAATGTTATCCACAATTTGTTAATGGTCCACACAATCAAATGTTTTGCATAGTCAATAAAACATGAGTAAACATCTTTCTGGTACACTTTGCCTTCAGCCAAGATCCATCTGACATCAGCAATGATATTCCTTGGTCCACAACCTTTTCTGAATCCAGCTTGCATTTCTGGAAGTTCTCTGTCAATATACTACTGCAACCATCTTTGAATTATCTTCAACAAGATTTCATTTGTGTGTGGTATTAATGATATTGTTTGATAATTTCCAAATTCTGTGGGATCACTTTTCTTTGGAATGGGTACAAATATGGATCTCTTCCAGTCAGTTGGCCAGGTAGCTGTCTTCCAAATTTCTTGGCATAGCTGGGTACGTGCCTCCAGCACAGCATCCATTTGTTGAAACATCTCCACAGGTATTCTGTCAATTGCTGGAGACCTGTTTTTCACCAACTCCTTCAGTGCAGCCTTGACTTCTTCCTTCAATATGATTGGTGCTTGATCATATGTCACCTCCTGAAATGGATGAACACTGACCAATTCTTTTTGGTACAGTGACTCTGTGTATTTCCTCCATCTTCTTTGGATGTTTCCTGCATCACTCAATACTTTGCCCATAGAATCTTTCAATATTGCAACTCGAGGCTTAAACTTTTTCTTCAGTTCTTTCAGTTTGAGAAATGCCAATTGTGTTCTTCCCTTTGGGTTTTCTAACTCCAGGTTTTTGCACATTTCATTACAATTGACTTTGTCTTCTCGAGCTGCTCTTTGAAATCTTCTGTTCAGCTCTTTTATCTGGTCATTTCTTCCATTTGTTTTAGCTACTCTGTTCAAGTGCAAGTTTCAGAGTCTCTTCTGACATCTGTTTTGGTCTTTTCTTCCTTTCCTGTCTTTTTAATGCTCTCATCTGTTCTTGATGTCATCCCACAATTCTTCTGGTTTTCAGTCATTGGTGTTCAATGCATGGAATCTGTTCTTTAGATGGTCTCTAAATTCAGAAGCGGTATAATCAAGGTCATATTTTGGCTCTCATGGAATTCTTTTCATTGTCTTCAGCTTCAACTTGAACTTGCATATGAGTAGTTGATGATCTGTTCCAAGTCAGCTCCTGGCCTTGTTTTGGCTGAAGACATTGAGCTTCTCCATCGCCTCTTGCCACAGATGTAGTCGATCTGATTCCTTTGTACTCCATCTGATGAAGTCCATGTGTATAGCCACCATTTGTGTTGTTGACAAAAAGTTATTTGCAATGAATAAGTTGTTGGTCTTGCGAAATTCTATCATGCATTCTCCAGCGTCATTTCTATCACAAAGGCCATATTTTCCAACTACTGGTGATTCTTCTTTGTTTCTAACTTTTGCATTCCAATCACCAGTAATAATCAACACATCTTGATTGCATGTTTGGTTAATTTCAGACTGTGGAAGCTGTAAACATTTTCAATTCCTAATCTTCGGCTTTAGTGGTTGGTGTGTAAATTTGAATAATATTAGTATTAACTGGTCTTCCTTGTAGGCGTATGGATATTATACTATCACTGACAGCATTGTACTTCAGGATAGATCTTGAAACATTCTTTGTGATGATGAATGCCACACCACTCCTCTTCAATTTCTCATTCCCGGCATAGCAGATCATCTGATTAAAAATGGCCAAAACCAGTCCATTTCAGGTCACTGTACCAAAAAAAATTGGTCAATATTCAACCATTTCAGGAGGTGGTATATGATGTTAGTACTGAAGGAAAAAGAAAAAGTTCAAGCCTTATTGAAGGCACTGGCAAAACCAAGGCTACAAGGCAGAATACCATGATTCAACAAACAGATGCAACATTAGAAGTGGTTACTTGTCTATGTCAAGAAATTTGGAAGACAGCTACCTGGTCACCGGACTAGAAGAGATCCATATATGTGTCCATCCTAAAGAAAGGTGAGAAAATGGGACGTGAAAACTATCAAACTATATAATTAATATCATCTGCTAGCAAAATTTTGTTGAAGATAATTCAAAATCAGCTGCAGCCTTGCACCAACAAGGAACTGCCAAAAGTTCAAGCCATAGTCAGATGAGGACATGGAACAAGAAGTATCATTATTGATGTAAGACAGATCTTTGCCAAAAGCAGAGAATACCAAAAAGATGTTTATCCGTGTTTTATCAACTACATAAATGCACTGGACTGGATCATAACAAATTATGGATAACATTACGAAGAATGGTAATTCCAGATACTTAATCATGCTCAGGCAGAACCTGTACATAGATCAAGAGGTAGTCATCTAAACAGAACAAGTGGATACTCCACAGTTTAAAAGGAAAAGGAGTGCAGTAGGGGTGTATCTTTTCACCATACTTATTCAATCTGTATTATGAGCATATTGTTGAGAAGCTGGACTACATGAAGAAGAATGCAGCATTGGAATTGGAGGAAAACTCACTAACAATTTGCAGTATGCAAATACACAACCTTGCTTGCCAAAAACGACAACTTAAAGCATTTACTGATGCAAGTAAATGACTACAGCCTTCAGTGTAGATTACACCTGCATGTGAAGGAAAAAATCCTCAAACCTGGATCTATAAACAGTATTATAATAAATAGTGGCAAAAATAAAAGTTGTTGAGGATTTCATTGTACTTGGATCAATAAGCAACACTAATGGAAGCAGAAGTCAAGAAATTAAATGATGTATTGCATTAGGCAAACCTGTGAAAAAAGATCCCTTTATCTTAAATCTTAAAAAGTAAAGATGTAACTTTGATGACTAAGGTATGCCTGACCCAAGCCATGGTCTTTTCAATCACCTCATATGCATGTGAAAGCTAGACAATGAAGACAGAAGAACTGATATATTTGAATTATGGTGTTGGCAAAGAATAATGAATATATCATGGACTGCCAGAAGAACAAATAAATCTGTCTTAGAAAAAGTACAGCCATAACGCTCCTTAGAAGTAAGGATGGTGAGACTTTTGCTTACTTTGAACATACTATCAAGAAAGACCTAACACTAGCGAAAGACTTTATACTTGGAAAAGTAAAAGGTCAGCTAAAAAGAAAGAGGCCTTCAATGAGACAGACTTGACACAGTGATTGCAACAATGGGCTCAAATATAGCAACAACTGTGAGGATGACATAGGACTGGCCAACATTTCATTCTGTTATACATAATGAGGTCGCTATGAGTTGGAAGCGATTCTCCGGCCTCTACCCTAACCAACAATGGCATGTTTCCATTGGAGGTTGCAGAAGGAAACACATCCAACCAGAGTGAGCTTTGCCTACTAGACCTTAAAGCAAAGATTGGGGTAGGTGCTGAGTGACCGGATTTTTCTATCACTCTTACTTTGTCCAGGTGCCTTCTGTTTGATGTTGGAGTACTTCATTAAAATGAACCAAGTTGATGAGCTATTAAAATAACCTCTTAATTAATGAGCATCCCATAGAATTCATTTTGACTATTTAATTCCAATGAATACCATTACATTTTTCTCTTTCCCACCAGCTTTTCTGACTCTAGCTAAAAGTCATCATAGTGAAAAGTAAAATTCAGTAGCTGAGTCAATTCTTAGGACAGTATCCTAACATGGCTGTTTGGACTAGTCCCCATTTAGATAGTTTTCTCCCTCAGTTAGCTGAGTGTCTGTAGCTCAGAAATAATATTCCTTATACTAAGTTACTTTCTGCTTCTCCCAGTGCCAAGTCGTTTTCTATCCTTACATCCACACACCTTAGCTCAGTGGTCTTAGCTCACTGTTTATGTTCTCACTAACCCTGCATTCTCCTAGTTCTTTCCCCTCATCACATCCCTGAAATCCTTGTCTCTTCAGTCAAGGGCCCTAAAACCTGATCCTTCTAATACTGGTATTTGCCTAGAGATGAACACCATTTAGTTGAATATAAAAGACATGAACCTGTACAAACAGCTCCCTTATCTGCCAATAGTGTCAAGAGAGTAATTTCACACACAAGGCAGAGAGGTTTCCACACTGCCATTGCCACTGCAACCTCAGGGATGGGATGTTTGCCCCATCCCTTGAGCAGGGGTTCCTCATACTCTCTTAGACCTTCAGCAGACTAAATCACTCACATACAACTCTAAGATAAAGGATTTGATCAAGGCTTCAGCAATAAAGCCTTTTAATATTTTAATTACAAAGATGCTCAATTATATATAAGTCACATAAAACCTTCCATGCAGAATGTACAAAAAAAGACAAATATTCCTGAAAAATTGGACATGAAAATAAGTCTGCTTTATTGCTGAGATACAAGGAAACAGAAGAAAAACCCAAACTACATCTCACCTTTTGGTCTCAGACTCCCTTGATTCATTCATAAAACACTGTTCATAATTTACAGAGAGTTTTGCCTTCTGGGCAATCCTATTGATAAGACCTATGTAATTCCCAGTGAATAACCCTTCTGAAGTGTCTGTTGTTGGCAATGATGAAGAACTATCTGCCTACAAAGAAAAAAAAAAAATCTTATTTAATATAAGAGGCAACAATGATCTAACTCTTTATTTGTCTAATAAAATTACCAAATGAGTTGTCTAAAAAGGCCACTTAGATTTTATATATTTCCCTATTACATACATACCTTAGGTAACATGTAAGTATATACATCTTCTCCCACCCAAAAATATCCACAAGGACAAATTTTAACAGCAGAGAAAACATCTATTTTCTTTTTATAGTTAATAAAGAAAAACAAAATAGTCCATTTGGTTGTTTTTTGACTAAATAACTTTTTTAATACGCAATTTCTTCTCCAAAGTCTCACCACATTTTTTCATCCAGTTTTCTCTTCTGTAAACTTCTTTCTGCTTAGTTTAACCTTTCTAATTCTCAAAAATTGGGTAAAAGAGACTTAATTAAACTTAAATCTGGGATCTCAACCTACCAGGGAAGGTAACTATAATAGCACAATTCCTACTATTGTTATCTGAATCTTCTTTTTTCTAAATCTAACAAAAAATCCTTTCCAAAGCTTGTCTATGTTATTTGTCTTGTCCAAGAACTAGTTTTTTATTTTATTTATCTTCTTTAATATTTCTTTGTTTTCTTTTACATTAATTTCCACCTTTATTTTTCTTATGTGACTTGTGATGAATTCTTTTGTACCCACTGCCATCAAGTCAATTCCATCTCATAGCAACCCCTGTAGGGTTTCCAAGGCTGTCAGTCTTTACAGAAGTAGATTGCCTCATCTTCCTCCTGCGGAGTGGCTGGTGGGTTCCACCTTTATTTTTATGATTTTCTTTCATCTGCTTTTTTTAGGGGAGGTATAGGCTTTTTTTGTTGTTCCCTATCTTGACTTAGTTTTCTGGTTCATTATTATTTACAAGTTTGTGACTTTCCCAGATTAAAAAAAAAAAATTTTGGCTAGAAGGATTATATCTCAAGATTTTTCAGAATATCTTCAAAGTTAAATATTCCCAAATTTTTCAGTGTGTTAAAATTATCCCCTCTTGGGACATCAAGCTCAATTGGCATAACATACTATACAAAACATTGTTCCACCTACTACTTTGGCTAGTAGCAACTGGGATCTTAAAAGCTAGCAAGCTGCCATCTAGATGCAACAACGGGTCTCTCCTCGTCAAGAAGAAAGAAGAAAACCAAAATTAATGGAAACAATCAGTCCTAGCGACTGTTACACCAT